CAGCCACCTTAGTGTCGGCCCACCCGGACCTGAGGGTCACGCCTCGGGCCACAGGAGACGCGCTCCAGGAGCGTAGCAGAGGATGGCAGAAGGAAGGTGAAGACCCAGAGGGGTCCCACAGACATGCAAAGGGAGTCACGTGTAATTTTGAATGTTCTACTAGTCACGTCACAAAAAAAAGAAATGAGTGAAATTAACTTTAATAACATACTTGACTGAATATACCCAAGATATAATCATTTTTAAAAAGTATCTTGAAACCTATATAATTTTATTAACTAATGCCACCCCAATATATTCAATAAAAATTGAAAAAGAAAAGAAAAACACAAGTGGCAGTAGCCTCATTTCAAGCACTCAGCAGCCACACGCATCTACGCCGTCGGGTGGTGCAGGTTCATGATCACACGGACCAGGGTTCAGATTCTGGCTCTGCCATTTCCTTGCCATCTACTTGCTCAGTCTCAGTTGCACTGGGTTAAAAATAACGGTCTCCAGAAACCGCTACATGAATTAGATACAAATGGCATTGCAAAGCACCCGGCACAAGGCCTGCTTGGTTGCTCAGGGATGAGCGTCCCCACCCTGCCCCTCCCTGGGACCTGGAGGGCGCCGTCCCCCTGCCGTTCCAGCTGTGACCTCCCCTCGGCTCCCCCTTCTCCCTCTGCCACACGCCACCGCAGCCTCCCCAGGCGCACGCTCTCCCCCTTGCTTCCCAGCAGCAGTGAACTTGACCGTGTGGACCTACAGAAGCGATGGACCCTCTTAGATGTGACCCAGGTATGTGGTCCCAAGAAACAAAAAGACCTGTACCTGGGAAGTTCCTTCTCCTCGGCTCGCCCCCACTGCCCCCCGCCCCCGCTGCTGCCTCAGAAACCGCCTGCAACAGCAATGCTTCTCCATGGGAAGCAGGGCTCGGGATTACACAGGGCAGGGTCATTCTGCAGAGTCGCTGGCCAGGACCTTTCAAAAGTGTCAAGGTCAAAAGGACAAAGAACAGCCAAGGATCTGGTCTAGGAAAGGGACATCAGTGGGAAAAGCGGTGAAACTCCAATAAAATCTGTGGGTTAGTTAACAGCAGTGTATTAACATCAGTTTCCTGGGTTCAGTCATTGTCCTGTGGGTGCGTATAACAGCAATATTAGCGGGTGTAAGACGAACCGGAGTCTGATTATCCACTGCGTAACACGATGACCACAGTTGGTAACACTGTACGGTATAATTGAAATTTACTGATTTAAACCTAAATGTTCTCACCCCCCCCCAAAAAAAGGCATATATGTGAGATAACGACTATGTTAATTAACTCAATAGGGGAATCCTTTCACAGTGTTTACATATACCAAATCATCACATTGCATACTTTAAATATCTTACAATTTTATTTGTCAATTATTCCCCAATAATGCTGCCAAAAAAATTGGGGGGGGTATATGGAAACTTTCTATACTATTTTTATAACTTCTCTTCAAGTCTAGTATTATTTCACAATAAATCGTTAAGGCTCTTGTAATTGTGATTACTTGAAACTGTCCTAATAGATTGTTATTGATACATTGTTGTGAAACAGTGCTACCTACACTGAGCCCCCAGTAAGGCCAAAGCACAGGTCAATGAAAAGTCAATTCCACGGTGCAGAAAATCCGCCATAATCACAACTATTAGTTTGCAAATCCACTAAGAGAGCATGATGGCACCTACATACTTAGTGATACCGAGCACTGGACAGCACACCAGGTTCTCACAACCAGTCCTGTTACGAAGGAAATGCACCTTTTGACTTCACATGACTGAATAACAGGCTGAAACAACAGCTCCATGGAGATGCACTTTTAACACAAAGAAAGTGGCAGGAAAAGATAAGGCACAGGGACAAGGAAGCACGTGCCCATCTGCACCCCCACGCCCACCCAGACGCCCCATTTTAGGGAACAGCCGCGGTCAACGAGCTCTGAAGCGATGAGGAGGGACTGGCGGGCGCTTCCGCCCCAGCAATTGTTTCTGGAGCTAAAAATGAATTAGGCTCATAGGCGATTGGTAAATGCAGGAAGGATCTCGTACGAAGCAGAAGCTGCATGGGTTCGCATGTGAGTTCTTTTCCCCACAGCATTAATGTTTTGTTTCATTAATAATAGCAACTGAAGTCTAAGTATACGGGCACAATAAGCCAGGAAAGAATCAATTACGCATTCAAGCCTCCCCTTAGAAGGGGCTTATGGCAAGGTTAACACTGATCTTAGTTGAAATATATATATAGTATATGTATATGTATATGTATATGTATATGTATATGTATATATACATATTTATACACACACACACACACACACACACAAGGTATCACACAGCAGTGAGCAGAGCAAACATCGCTGCTATTAGCACACTTTGTACAAAGCTTGCTACCTTTTCTCTCCTTACAATTTCTCACAATAATGTCCCAATTGTCCTGTATACATAGGCAGCTTCAACCCATCCTTCTAGTGCCTTCCATCAAGCCACCTTCACCTTTTTTAAGTAAAATCCTACATTTACTGCAGTGTGCTCTTATTAGAAATATGTCTTTTAAAGTGCTAGCATTTTTAATGAAATTGTTATTCTTTTCATTAGTATTCTGGTTACAAAGTTGCATAAGCCCTGATAATTTAAGTTTGAATATGCACATTGAAAAGTCTCTGAGAAATGCATGTATAATATAGTAGAAATGCTGTATTTCCACATACTCTGAATACATAAAACATATTCCAGGACTACTTAAAATACAAATTGTCATAATATCTTGTTTCCAAAGATTAGTTACATATCAATGGAATGTGTTCTTAATATTGATTTGTATTTTATACATTTTATATTTAGCCATAAATTCAAAATTTAGTCATGCATTTCTGGATTAGTCACATATTTCTCAAACATACAGGATATTCTAACGTAGTATTGACAATTATTATCTAAGTTAAGGCCAGATTGATGCATTTTGTAAGAAAAGCAAATATTCAATGTTTTTTGATGTGAATTAAATATATATTACAAGCATTCATCAAACCAGCATCAAGCTTTTCCAATGAAGAAATATATAAAATGTGTAAAAATATAAAAGCGTGTCAAAAAGCATTTTTGCTCATAAATGTAAAAACATACTTTAAACAGTATCTTTTATAGTATTATATCATGCAGAAGAATTTAGGATGACTTTTCATTTCTCAAAGAAAGCAATAATTAATACTTAATTACTTGTTAAATAATACAATGGCAAAAAGTGAGCATTCTTTTGTACAAGTAGCTCCTCCTAACAACAAGTATTATGAAAGAAAATTTGTTATTTGTACCAGACAGACATAGCACATAACTAACTCATTAAAAATACAGTTCAACCAAAGGAGCTATAATTTATTATATCAACATCAATTTGAATATACCACTTTTGAAATTAAGGTATATAATAAATAAAAATGTATCTAATTAATATTTACTTAAAAGAACATTGCTCTCTCTCCCTTTTTTCTAGCACTATATGATGTGCTAGGGTACTTTTATGAACCACACAACCCTGAATTTCAAGGAGCCTTTTTTCCCCCTGATTACCTGTTCATATTCACTGGCTGGGAGATAGTCAGCATGTTTCTAATGGAAAAAAACAATGCACAGTTGTCTGCTTATAGGCTGACCTCTTTCACTTGGGTGGGCACCTTCTCCATCACCGACTAAGTGAGGATGTAACCTTGTCAAACCAAAGGCAAAAGAATAATGAGCGTGCGACAGGCTAACCCAGCATGCAGGGGGATGTTACAGAGGTTGCAAAAACAGCCCCGTGAATGACAAGCTAGAAGTGGTCTCCAAAGAGCAGGCTCATGGTACAGGACGCGCTCCAGAGCGCAGGACACACTTAATCCTCATCCTTGGACGCCTGCCATACAAAACTCCACTCAAATGAACTTCCTTCATTAGTTACTAACCAGATTAGTTAATATATTTTCAAACGAAGCCTGGTCGAACAGGCTTGACAGAGACACACTAATAAAATATCTGTTTCCACAAAGCATGCGTGAAAGGTAACTGTAAATGAGTAGATAATGGTTTGCTTTCACCAAACAATTATAAATATCATCCCAAAAGAAACACTCCAATTCGAGAATCAGACACATGAAATGGAAGTCTTCCCCAGGCGACGGGATTTTACTATTGCTAAAATAAGTGACAAGAATGGCTCCGTTAATTGCTACCCCGGTGCACCACCTGGAATAACAGGGAATCACATTAAAACATTTTTACAGTGGCTGAAACCAGAAGAAATAAGGCAAGTTCTGTTGCAGTCTTCTCAGCATGAATTTACTTTGAAAACAAACAGACAGAAAACTCTCAAGTCTAAACCATTCAAGCACGTGCTGAGGCTATGCATTATTTCACTGTATCAATTTTCCACACTTTGACATTCCTTTTCCACATTAAGACTGGAAAACAATCCACGCTCCTGACCAGCTGCCCTGCTTTCACAGAGCGACAGCACCACCTTTGGTCTCAAACAGAAGCCTCCAGCAGAGCAGTCTTCCCAACCCCCTTTTGTCAATTAAATTACTCGTGGATTTGTCGCCAAATTGATATGTCACCGGGTTTCACGTCACATTTATCATATTCAAGAATATTTGGTACCTTCACAAATGGATAAAGCATGAGAATAAACCATTGCTTCCAAGATGCAAAATTCTGAAATCATCCAAACTAATATCAAACACATGTACTTTAATCATCAATATAGTAACTGTCAATCAACATTTCAACACGTTTTGCCAAATCCAAGTAGGTCAATCAACAGACACATTTTTAAATATAAAAGAAAAACTTTTTTTATAATATCATTACATTTCAAAATTGATTTAAAAAAACACATTACATTTTAAATGAACCTATAATTTAATAATTGACAATATGGTATTAGCAGCAGATTGCCAGTTAAATCAGATCATTATAACTTATGTACAAATATAGTATGTTTCTGATCTACTTACACCAATGACACAATGTCCCCACGTTGGACTTCAAAATTCCTCACTTTCCAGTGGTTCAAAAGCACCACATCAGAAGACTGGCTCCCTCCAGGATTCAAAGAGGGCTAAAAACAGGGAGAAAGAGACATGTCTCTCATTTGTAAGTTTCAATCTTCACAGTTCCTTGCACGTCATAGCTCTGCGCAGTGCAATAAAACATCTCTAACATAGTCACTTTCAATAAATTGCTGCTCTAAAGTAAGAGCAAATGATGAATTTTCAAAGGGGCTCATCGGAATTCCTCCCAGTGAACCAGGATACAGACGCATTCCCAACGCTGACCGGAAAGGAAAACGTGCCAAGTTTTCAGATCTCTCCTGAACTCCGATGAGGAGGTAGGGAGAGCCTTAACAATTCAAGAGACATGAGGAGGAAGTGAATCAACCGTCCCAACAGAAGATCTGAACAGGAGCTAATTCCACAACAGCACACGGCAGGGTTCCATCTGGGGAAAGAACCCTCTCAACCCTACCAGGAAACGCCCACGGGGAGCAGGGAAGGGAGCAGAAGGAACACGAGATGGGACAACCACGGGAAACACGGGAACTCCCCACGTTGTGCTCTCCTCCCCAGGGAGCAGGCAGCACAGGCCCTGGTCCCGGGCTGGGGGGGCCTCATAGGTGGCCCTTGCCTGGGGTGCATGGACTTTCCTGAAGGCCAGGGACCACCAGGCACAGAGTGCTGAGTGAGGAAGCATGACGCCAACATGCCCAACCCTGGAGGGGTGCAGAGAAAGTCAACGGACACAAGGCAACCCTGGGTGGGGGAGGTGGGGCGGAGGACACAGGAAGACAAGGCGACCCTTCCACCGTGGACGTTGCAGGGTCCCTTAGAGCATCCTGAGGGGAACCAACACCCGTGTCTGTGGGGGGAGAGGGGCCGAACCACAGGGGACTCTCGGCTCTCCCCAGCGCCGGGGGTGGCAGCAGGAGAGGACGTGACCGTGGCCCGTCCACGGCCATTCTCTGGGGCCAAAGTGACTGTCTCTTTCTTGAACGATTCCTGGAATTATTTGTAGATTTTCTACAAAGAAGATGTGGACAGTGCTGCGGACATTTCGAGCTGGGGCTGTAATCAGGACCTTGTTTTCGATGCCCAGGCTCTCTGTGCCCAGGCCTCCCGGGTGACGCTGGGGGTCTCGGCCACCCGCCCCCACAGGCCCCCGAGCCCTTCATGAGCACCGAGGCCTGAACATCCTCGTCTCTCCTTTCCACTTCCCAGCGCATCTTTCACTTGACTGTCTGTCTGACATACGCGGGAGACCGAAAAAACCCGGAATTATCTTCCGGAGGGCGGGTCCCTTGTGGTACCTCGTAGTCCAGGCCTCCCCAACGAGGTGTGTTCTGGGACCCCACCTGTATCAGTGCACCAGCTCGCGTTGCTGGGAGAGGCTGCGTTCGGCCTCAGTGAATTTTTTTTTTTGAAGACTCTTTCAACGCGTTTGCCCATTTCATGGTGGGTGATTTACGAGCGCACCTGCCGGACCGCACTGAGTGTTCCGCAGTTTTTGACCAAAAATGGCACAACCCCGGAGCTCCACCTTCCCTGTTCACCCGATCTCACCCCAAGTGACTTCCTGTTGTTTTCCCAGATGGAAAGTCTTCAAAGGGAAAGTTTTCCCGAGGTGGAAGAGGTGAAAGGAAGAAATGGCAGAAGCACTAAAAGGCATCAAAATCGACAAGTTCAAAACTATTTTGAGCAGTGGAAATAAACGTCCTGATAGGTGTAGTGCTTCAAATGGACAGCACTTTTAAGGGGACTGAAGTTTAAACATGTAATAAGTACACACTTTTTTAAATAAATTCCGAGCTTTTGGGGCCCCCCTTGTAAAATTCAGCATAAGTAAAATTTCCGTCATTTCCTACCAAAAAAGAAAAGTTTTCTCCCTTATCTTCTCACATTCTATTTACCATTTCCCAGTCACCCAGCTTGTATTTCCACTTCATAGCCAACCAGTCACAAAGCTAAAGAGCCTTTTTATTCATAACTTGTTTCACAAAACAGTAATTACCTTTACCACATATACCCTGATATTTTCTCTTCTCTTCTAATCTGTGTTTTTAAAATTCTGCCTATAAGCAACTGTATTAATTCCACCGCCACTACATTGATTTTTAAATGATTCTTCTTCAACCATTATTCTACGAAGGTTGTTTCATAGCAACCTTCCCAGAATTCTACCTTTAGTTCATTCATCTCTGTTGTTCAATTCTTTTCCTAGAAAATCTCATCATCGTTCTCAGTTGCAAATACCACCCACATCCCAAAGAGTCCTGAATGCATCGTCCCAGTCACTTCCTCCTACTCCAGAGTCCTCGCACGGCACTCCAACTAAAACCCTGGCCACCCTGGCTTTCTGCTCACCTGTCCTCACAGTCCAGCAGGAAGCTCCGGTGAGCCACTACTGTACGCCCTGGCGAAATCGGCCCTCCAGCCCCAGCTGCTTCTCCGAGACCCCGGAACAGAGAACAGAGTTCTGACTGGTTGCTGGGCTTCTCATTCAATCAAGCCATCCCCCTACTTGAAATCCTTCACTAGTTCCCCAGCATCACCAATGTGACCGTCTTCAAGATCGAAGTCAAGACACATGTGATCTGCGGGACCCCATCCACCCGCACTTCCGCAGGTCCTACAAGTTAACCTCAGCCACACGCAGGGCCCGGGACACAGTTGGGTTACACCTCCAAGGATCACAGAAGCAGGTATTTCTGCCTGAAACGTTTCCCGCTCTTTCCCCCTTCCTACCTTTCGGGGAACTCCTACTTCAAACACCTGCCATCTCACGGGGGATTCTCAGAAGAATTCTTTCCTAACACGCCTCACCTCTCCTCCCCACTCCCATCCTCAGACTCCAGTGGGCAACGAAAACTCCCAAGTTCCCCTCAGGACCTGTGGATATTTCTACCACAGCACATCCAAGTGTGTATTGTAATGGCTAAGAGCATTTTGAGAATAAATTGTTTCTTATGTCTGTGTTCTTACACCTGATCACATAAGATGGTTAATAATTTTAACTGGGGAGCATCAAAAAATAATTAATGAAATTCCCGAAGACTCCCCACATTCATCCTGCCAAGAACAGAGATCATTTTCCACCCCAGCCCCCAAATAAACGTCGGCATCGCCCCTGTTGTTCACAGTGGACCATTCCCCCCACGCCCTTACTAGGAGACTCCGGCGGCGTCCTCAGCTCCTAACTTTCTTTGACTTTCCCATCATCAGACTTTCCCTCTGCTCAGAAGGCCTTTGATGGCGGCTTCTCTGTGAATCCTTCAAAAGCAGCCGCCGCCACCTGCAGTTTCCTTGCAAAAATTAGGACATGGCACCCCGGAGCTCCAAGGCGGGGACAGGAGAAAGCCCCACAGGCTCAAATCTGGACACTTGGATTCCTCTGTCCCTTAGAGAATCGCTCGTCTATCAACTTCTCTAGCACTAATTGTGAGAGCCAAAAGGTAACGCGCTGTGAACAAAAGATCTGTGCAGGGAAAGAGCCCCAGAAGGAAGCATGTTGAATTTCAAACAGTGATAGATTAGAATCATCAGTCAACACCTGGAAGGCCATGTTTGCTTTTCCACAGGAAACAAGGAGTTTCCTTCTACCCTTCCTCTCCTCCGCAAGGTTAACTGAATTGCGCCTCCCCAGCCCCGCCCAAGCTCCCTCCACAGTTCATGTAAACCTCAGCGGGGGCTCCTGAAACTTTGCGAGAGCATCTGCCTGCCCACGACCGCATCGCTTGCCAGGGGCCTTCTCGAATGCAGAAATCATGTCCTATCCGTGTGTGTGTGTGCAGGAGAGGGGCTGGACAGGAGGATTTCTGTAGTTTAACGCTCAAAAGATGAGCAGTTTTTGAAAAGCGTATGTAAATAAGAGGGTTCGTAAGCAACGCATATTATCTAAGCAATGGCTACATGTCTTTCAATAGAAACACATTCAAGATAAGTCTAGTAAGAAATCTTTTGCTTTGCATCAAGTTAGGCAATGTAAGCATTAGGAATGAAGTTGAACAGGGCTTTCTTGTTATCCATAATGAAATCAAGCTAATCACAACAGAATAAATTTTTTCTTTACTGTTCATTCATGAATACGAACAAGTGAATATGACTAACACATCATAAAAAAAAAACTTCCCTGAATTGGAAAACTACTTTACAGCACTATAAAAACTATAGTTCTTTGTACTTCAATTAAGCAATTTAAAATGAAGGGGAAAAAAAATACGATTTCCTGGGTTTTCCAAAACAATTTTTTGAGAAGAAAAAGAATGCACTAACTTCAAAATGAAAAATTTATAGGAAAAAATTAAGAAAATGTAATTTGGAGGGTGCTGTTTTAGAAAACTTAGTAAACCATGTTATTACTTAGAAACTGCACATCCTGCGTCCCCTGTGGAAACGGCAGTCTGTGCTCCAACCAGAAGAGGTAGATCTTTTCCAATCAAAGAAATTAGAAACATGAAATCTAAATCAAAACTCATAAACTCTGGGAACCGGATGTAACCACAGAGTCCACATTTTCTTGCCGCGTTGTCAACACTTTACATCCTCGATTCCCAGGGACTGCATCAAGACGTTACCCAGCTTAAAATAATAAAGTTGTTGGAAGTTGTAAACCTCCGAGGATATTCACCTAGGAGTTTCCAGCTACATTTCAGAACGTGTGGCTGTGTTGGCTGTCGCTGCTGGCCGTCGCGGAGACTCCCAGCGGCGGGCGCGGGGACGCTGCAAGATCTCCGGAACCAGCCGCGGAGGACAGGGGCCGCCGGCGGCTGCCCGGCGCCCTCCCCGCCTCTCCTGGCCCGGCTGCTGGGAGCACTCAGGTTCGGCATCAACCTCGCGGGCCTTCAGGGTCTTGGGGGTTTGGAGGCCTTCGGGGCAGCCTTGCTCTGAAGATGAAAAACTGTTCCCATCGTGGCCCCACTTCCCTACTCGCCAGAAGGCTTAAAATGACTTAACCTTTCCGAGCCTCGCTTGCGTGTCCGTGACGTGGGGTCGCCTGGCCCGGACTCCCAGAGTTGCCGTGAGAATCACAGGAAGCGGCCTACGAGGTCTCGCGACACAGTCCTCC